AATGAGACCAGCGAAATCATCCATCGGGCAACCGATGAACATCAGCACACCCATGCCGATCGCGTAAACTACCGCTGTGAAGGCGATCCAGGCTGCGACGAACCTGGCGTTAGGCTTTGCCCTCAGGATAAACACTCCGCTAATTATAATACCCAGACCCATTACTAAAATACCACCGACACCTGCGAAAAAAAAAAAAAGGAAAATAATCTGGGATCAATACGCGGTTCTCACTGTCACGATGAGCTCTGTTTTAGAACTAGGACTACACGATTTATGTTGTACGTCAAGGTACGACCTGACTGAATGAGAATTTATTGCACACACAAAATTCATTACAGAAAATAGATTTTATACAGTTTTAACAGCCTCACTGTTCTATGAGTAATATTGTTAGATGTAAAAAGATGAGTAATAAAATTTACCATGCCATAAAATATTTTTATATCAACAGTGAGTGGACTGAATTTTTATTCAATTGCGTGTAACCTACTCTTAGATGTAGATTAAATTTTACATCACGATCTTATGCACATTTCATCAAAATATGTATGAAATTGACGGAAGGTACGAATGAAGATTAATTCCTCAATTCAAATTCTTCAAAGGCTTTAGATAAAATCCAAAGCAGAAATAGTTTCAATTTTGTCCCATTATTTAACCTTTATCATTTAACATGTTTCTTTTGCAGTATTCTTTCATCTTCTTACAGTGTAGGTCATTTTTTAAGACTTTGTTCATAAAATCTTCTGTGCATCGAACATTTTTTAATCATGTTCTCTTCTACAGAGTCAAATCTGTATCGTATTGCGTGTTTCGTTTCTCGCATGCGAAACGTGTTTTGCAAGCTCGTCAGAGCATGTTCCATGACTGTCAATTGCATTAAAATACAGAAATATCCCATTTCAGAGGAGTTGCCGTAACACGTGTAGTCCTAGCCCTTAAGGTGGGATTTCCTATAATTGCACACATTCGTCAGATGCCGATAGAATGGAAAAGCACACATGATTTTCGTTTGTTGCATTCTTGTCGAGTGAATGTTGCATCCAGTCGAGAGATTTCTGACCTAGTCGCGTATATACACACAGTTGAGAGCTACAACGATGACAATTATCGGAAGATTATAAGGTCGCTTCACTTAATCCTACGTCATCTACCCAATTTTCTGTAATGAATTTCATCACTTGCCACTTGTCAATACGTGTGCGTTTCATCTGTCTATTGACATTATTTAATGAACTGAATCTACTTTACTTCAATTTAATTTCTTCAACCCTTTCGACCTCTCAAAAGTTGAAACTGAACATTACACTTGATTTGTTTTAACATTCAAGCGATCTATTTCTCGTCAGATCTTCAATCATATTTTGTGACACTAGTTGTGGAAATTTGTGAAAACTACAAGCAAGTATTAAAGATTCGCTCTCGAAGGATTGAAGGAGGAAAAAGAGACGACACTTTCGTATCGAAGGATTGTCGAAAAATTCAACAGAAGTACCCACTCGCATCGAAGAAAGTTAACGAGAACAGGAGGATTCGGAGGGCGGGAGGGGGCCAGAAACTCCCCTCGCGTGTCTATTCGCGAAAATTACCTGAGATCATGTTCGCATGATGAGCTGGCATGCGAAATTGGCTCTCGAGGTACTTTGGCAGGAAGGTGTAGAGGCCGGCGATCGGTAGGATGTGCAGCACGCTGCTGGCCGTCCGGAACATAAGAATGTCGTTCTTCAACAGCCTCTTCACCGCTTTAGGGAAGTCTGCAACAGGTAGAGAGAAGGTGAGGTGTAGCGAGTGTACCGAGTCGTGCAGGCAACGCGAGTCCGAGCACCGCAACCTGCAGCCAAACCATTTACATGAAATTTATTCATCGTCTTTCTCGCCTCTCTCGCCCTTTGTTCCGGGTCCTTTCATTTGCCACTCCTGATTTTTCGTCGAAATATTACGAAGGTAAATACGTACGCACCGCGACGTACAAGGAAAAAATTTTAGTCCTCGCGCGGTTCAGGGATCGGAGGAACTTCGGGCCAAATTTATCGCTGTTACTCTCCTCGGCGATTAAACTATACTAAACTTGTACTAAGAAAGTTTTCTCGTGTTGCAAAAAAATTAAGAAATAAATAACGCAAACTTCATTAATCGTACACATTTCGTGAAAAATCGTTCAAATTTCTAAAATTACATCGTGATGAGTGTAAAAGATTATATTTTGAAAAATGATAAATTTCCAGTATGTTTCAGAGAAATTCCTTCAAGAAAGTCCTAGAATGCAGAAGATCTCTACGATGAATTGGTTGGTAGTCAACTGGTGTTAGTAAACAGCTTCCCTGGGTCCAGAAACTGGGTCCAAAGACGAGGGATTCGAACGCAGCCGTCGATCCCCCGTTATTTATGAACTCAATTACGAACAACGAGCTAATTAGACGACGATCGAGTTTCCCATCGTTCTATTTTCGAAGGGACACGACAGCGGCATGGCGGCGCGTGTACGAGCGAGATCACGCACCTCGGCGTGGAGAGGAGGGCAGCAGCCAGCGATCGCCTGGAGCTCGAAAAACGAGAAACAGCGACGAGAAAAAGAAAGCGTAACGTCCGATACTTGCACCGGCACCGGGAAAAACGAGGATCGATCATCGGGTAGAGAGGGAGCGATAAAGATTTCGCGAGACGCACGCCGTCTTTTCGAAAGATCCCGATAAGAGAGAGGACGGCGAGCGATTTTTCTCCTATCTATTTTCTTCTTCTTCTCTTCTTCTTATCACGGCTCGACTTTGACGTATCAGCCTCAAACTCTTACTTTTCTCAGCTTACCGATAATCGGATGGAACAAGACCAGAATCCGCGCAAACGAGCTCGTATCTTCATTAGAATTACTCGTATCGTGTGAGACTCGGCGGGTAAACTGATGTGGAGCAAACAGGAACGAACACCTACTTATTTACACGGCTCATCTAACGACTTCGAATTGAGGTTCTTTCGATCTTCGAGTCGAGAAAGAATGAGAGAATCGGCGCAACGCAGCGGCGCGATAAAAAACTGGATAAAGAACGTCCGAGGGAGAGACGTGGCCGAGCAAGAAGCGACGTGGCGACGATCGGATGAAGCATCGATTTTCTAGCAATCGTAAAAAAACGCGAATTCCTGCATGGAGCGGCCAAGGGGGGGG